GGGACTTCCAGTGCCTGCTTCAACTGGGATGCTACCAGGCCTTAGCCTGAGTTCATGTCCATGGTCTCAGCACCACATGTAAAGTACATGTACAACTAGACTTTACTTTTTTTGAGACAGGTCTCATGTAGCCTAGGTTGGCCTCAAATTCTCTATGTATGGGAGGGTGACCTTGAATTTTAGATCTTCCTGCCTCCCCAAGTGCTGGGGTTATAGCATGTGCCACCATATCCATCCAGTATGTGTGGTACTGGGGATGGAATCCTGGCCTTTATGAGTGCATGGCAAGTCCTCTACCAACTTAGTTTTCTCCCCTGCCCTTACAACATTCTTTATAAATATCACGTTACAAGGATCCCCTCCCCACGTGTACAACCCGGTATTCCACCCCAGGTCCTGCTGGTTCATGAACCTAGTTTGAACCTAGACCCTTCCCATTGTACAACCTCAGGAGCAGGAGCAGTTCCTGGATGCATTGGCAGGGAGCCAGGATTCCTCAGGTCTGGGGACCTCCCTAAGGGAGTGGGAAGATAGGAGGAGTCCTGGGGCTCTGTTCCTCGACAGCCACCTGTTCCCATTCCCTGCACACAGTGTCTGACTCCGCCTGCGCTCTGAGGTTGGGAGGAGGGGTTTTTCCGTCTTTTGTGTCTTGAGCAGTTTTTTCCCTGCTCTGCTCTTCTTTGCTCTCTCTTCTTGTTCCTTTTTGTAGATAATACTCCCACGGGCCTCCCACGGCAGCTCCAAAATGCAGCCTCCTGAGTTTCTTCTTGTTGACAAAGGTTTTGAGCTGTCTCTGAGTAGGGCTCCCCCTCAGCCTAGCCCCGCCCCAAACCTTCCAGGCAGGGCCCAGAATGAGCCCAGGTTGGGGAGAGAAGGGGGCTGGGGAAAACAGTGCGGTGACCTGATGCTCTCTCCCATTATCTACACTCAACCCCCTCCTCGCTGGCTCCTAACCACAGGTCCCTGTCCCCTCAGTGTAAGTGTGTCTTAGGGATGGTGGAAGGAGGGTTAGGGAATTAATCACTAAGTGTCAAGGAAACCTGTAAAACAAACACATGCTAGACCTCAGCAGGTCTGAGAGACTGGATAGGTAGAAAGAAGTCCTGTCTGATTGATTGAATGCATCCTTTAAACGGAAAGTCCAGGCTGAAGGGAGGGACCTGTTCACCCTTTACATGTAGATATGTTCAGAGGTGGTCGGTTGAAGGAATGTAAGCAAAGCACATCAGACTACAGTTTCATCCTGGGATAAGAGTGGTCAACCCTGTCTCCAAAAAACACACAAAAACAAAACCCAAAAAAACAAAAGAGTGGTCAGCCAGGTGTTGGTGGCAGAGGCAGGCAGATCTCTGTGAGTTCGAGACCATCCTGGTCTACAAGACCTACTTCCAGGAAAGCCTCCAAAGCCACACAGAGAAACTCCAGTACATACCTCCTGGAAATGGGACCAGGGGGTGCTAAGGGAGGTAGTGCACCTTAGACAATGTTGTAACCTCATTGCTTCAGTGTTTCCATTTGCACACTGGCAGCTGCAAATAGAATAGGAACTGCTTCTGAGTATCAGGTTAATAGGGGAATCCAAGTGATGTATTTAACATAGTGCTTGCCTCAGTAAATGCGACCCTCTGTAATTCCCATCCCATCTGCCCTGCTCATTCTAATCCAATGTCTCTGGCTTCACTGGCCACGCCAAGCCAACCCAGTCAGGTGGGTGAGCTGCAAGTCTGAGAGTGAACACCTTTTGGCCTCACAGGAACGACCTGGACCAGTTGGGTCTGAAGACCCTGGTACTGAAGTACACACAGCCTCAGCTGGATCTGGACCTGGGGTGGGGGAAAGATGTCAGGGAGGGAACCCTGGCTTTGTGTCGTCCCCCCCCCTTTTTCTCTCCTTCCCTTCCTTCCTCTCTCCCTTCTCCCTTTGTGAAATGGCTACCCTGGCTGTTCTCAGGGTTCCTCTGAGACCCCCAAATTAGACAATAAATATTTGCATGAAGCATTGTCATGCACTGCCCTTGGGTTTTTTATACATGTCCCCTTATTTCTTCCTCAGAGACCCCAGAGTTAGTTATTGTCATCACCATTAGATAAGAGACCCGAATCACAGAAATGTTAGTGAAGCTGCCTTTAAAAAAATCTCTGGGCAGCAAGCGGCAGAGAGTACTTAAAGTTGGCTCATCTATCTCCTCAGATTTGGGGGGTGGGATGCTTTCAACCACAGCCTCACCGTGGATTAAAGTAAGCTAAAAAAAATATGTCCCCCTGCTTAGCGGGATTCTTTAGCCCTGGGCTCATCTGGAGTGGGGGACATGATCTGCGGGACTTTGTTAGGCTCGCCCCCGCTCCTGGGAGTAGGATTCCAGGGTGCAGCGGACTGGGGGAGGGGACCATTTCCTCCCTTTCTTCCCAAAGCGCCTGCTCTTTTAAATACAGCTGCCTTGAGCTTAGCCTTTGCTAGCTGCTGACGGGTCGTCGTTGGAGCAGGGTACACTCCTCTTTCCAACGCTGGTGGCAGTGGGTGTGTCTCCTCCAGGGGAGCAGTGCTGAGCTCTGGTTTCACCCATTGGAGAGCAAATTGCAGTTTTGGCCCCGGTGGCTCTTCTGGGCGCGGGCGGCAGCCGCACTCACTGGCAAACCGTAGGAGGGAGGAGGAGCGGCGCTGGCAGGAGAGGCCGCGGGGACGGTCGCAGAGCGCGGGGACAGGAGACGGCCGTCCGCCCCTGCTCTCCGCCCCCTCGCTAGAGGTGCAGACTCCGGGAGAACCGAGCTCTGCGACTGAAGGCGGGGGGGGGGGGGTTGCCGGGGGCAAAGCGAGCACACACAGGGGTGGGAAGTTTTCTCTTAGTGTCCGACCTCGAGCAGTCTCCGGCCCTCGTGCAGCCTGGGAACCGGCGACAGAAACTTGAGGCGGAGGGCTTGGGGTTCGCCTGTCCAGCGCGCCCTCTGCGCTCTGGGGGGGGGGGGTCTCAGCCAAGGCGTCTGGACTTCACTCCTGGGGCTCCCCACCCTCGAGTTTCCTCAACACCTGCCTGTACTTTTCAAGGGGCAAGCAGAGTCGGGGCGGAGGGGAAGCTTGGCTGCTCAAAACCGGTTTCAGAAGCACCCCTTTTCGGAGTACTCTGCGCAGTTTGAGTTCCTCAAGGGGCACAGACCTCCAACTACTGGACCTGCCCCGCCGCCTGGTCGCCAGTTTCTTTTCTCACGACGATTTTCTCGTTCCGAAGCACATCTACAACACACACATACACGCGCACGCACACACCCCCAAATCCTCCTCTGGTCCCTCTGGAGGAGAAGGGGCGCCCCAGGCTGCTCCCGAGGCTGTCAGTCTGAGCCCACCCGGCAGTGGTTCTCGCCTCGGGGAGCGTGACAGCGCTAGGGGGCGACAGCCTTCCCTGCCCCCCACCAAGGTCCCTAGGGGAGGGGGATCCCTCCGCGGGAGGCCTGTCTCTTTAAGGAGGCGGCCCTGACTGGGTGTGCCCCGTCTCCATGGTTACCCCGGTGCAGGCGGCGGTGCGGGAGGTAGGCTGCCGCTTCTCCCCGACAGACGGAGGGAGCTGCGGGGACCCGGCGCCGAGCCGAGCCGAGCCCGAGCGGGAGCCACCCCGCCAGCCGAAACGGGAGCCGCGGGCGGGTGGACGAAAGGTGCCGAGTGCGCGGTGGCCGCGGGGCCTGCAGCCCGGAATCCGTGGGCGGCGAGGGGTCGCGCGCCATGCTCCCAGCCCCGACGGCGCGGACGCCCCCTCGCGCGCCGGCCGCCGGTGGGGCCTGCGAGCCTGGGCCGGGCATTGCCCCCCGACGGCTACTCTAGGGGGCGCGGGGCCCGGCGGGGGGCGGCCGAGCCAGGCGCCCTCCCCGGGCGCTGAGTCCCCGCGCCCCGGAGGGATGGGGCGGGCGTCCACCGCCGCCTAAGATGCCGGCCATGCGGGGGCTCCTAGCGCCGCAGAACACCTTCCTGGACACAATCGCCACGCGCTTCGACGGGACGCGTGAGTCAGGCCCTAGCCCCCTAGCTTCCGGACTGCCACCTGCTGCTTGGCACCCACCGGTCTCCCCTCTTCCTCACCCCTCTTGAAGCCGGGGCCATCCTCTCCTTCCAGTCACTTCAGGTTTCCCAGAGATTTTCAGGGTCAACACTGCTAGCAGATGTCCCTAGGCGCGGAGGGTCTGGGTTGAGTCAATAACCCATTGCCCTTCTCAGAGAAGACCAGGCACTGTTGTTGCAAGGGCCGAATCCGGTGACGCGGGACCAGGGCCGGTGGACAGCGCAGAGGGCTCAAAACCCAGATTTAAAAATAAGATTTGCAAAGGAAGATAGAGTAGGCGGAATTCAGCAGATACTGTGTGTGCAAGCCCATCGCATAGCCTAAACACATCGCTTGGAATGCCTACCCAGCCCCAAAGATGAGCTTGGGGACTCCCATCGGGACTGGGGAAGTTTGGAAAAGGCAACTTGAGCTCCCAGATTCTGGGTTCCTGGGCTCTGAACACAGGGAAACATAAAAACAGGGTCCCTCCCCCTATCACTCCCAGCGGGGCTTCCCAGTTCTAACTAGCACCCTCCCTCCTGGTGTAGACAGCCCATAGGAACTCATCACTGAGCTCTCCCTCCCTCCACCCCAGACTTCTCCATCTGCTTTGGGCTTGAAGCCTGCTGATTCAGCACCCCTCATTCCCCCAATACATGCTTGGCTCCAGGCTCTGTTCAGTCACTATGCGTACACCCCCATCCTTGATAGCATTCACTAGTTCCTGAGCCCGGGCATGCAGCAAGGGTGCAAACACAGAACAGGATGGACAGTGGCCTGGGTTGCTTCCCAGACCAAGTGGGTCTCCGTGGGAGGAGCCATGCAGCCAACCTGCTTATCCAATTGGTGGGTGAGCCTGGTAGAAGCACAGGTGGGCCGAGAGCAGGTGCAGTCTCTGGGAAACCCCTAACCCCACCCCTTATTCAGACTGCTCAGGACACGCTCCCCGGGGTACAATACCATACCACACAGGTTGCATGTAACACGCTGCATTGACGTATGCTGATCCTCAAACACACTCAGACATATTCAGCTGGGAGCTGACCCTTGGGGATACTGACTGACTAGCAGACATGCTTCATTCATAAACAGGTCTTGGCCAGTACACACAACACCCCTGGGGCATGAAAGCCCACCCTTCGGTGGGTTTCGAGGGTGTTTTGAGACGCAGGCTGGTAGGTGAAGGTGCCCTTCAGTTCATGCTCTCTTCTGAGAGGCGTTCTCTTGCAGACAGTAACTTCGTGCTGGGCAACGCCCAGGTGGCAGGGCTCTTCCCTGTGGTCTACTGCTCTGATGGCTTCTGTGACCTCACGGGCTTCTCCAGGGCTGAGGTCATGCAGCGGGGCTGTGCCTGCTCCTTCCTCTACGGGCCAGATACCAGCGAGCTGGTTCGTCAACAGATCCGCAAGGCCCTGGATGAGCACAAAGAGTTCAAGGCTGAACTGATCCTGTACCGGAAGAGCGGTAAGGCACCATGGTGCCAACTCACCTCACCTTCGGTGTCGCCCTGGTGGGCTGGGCTCGCACCCCATTCGTGGCCTTGCCCGTCTTCCCATGGACCTGTCCACTCTTCAATCCCTTTCTCTGCCCCCCAGTCTCAGCCTGCACTCCCAGTCTTGACTTTCTCATATTCAGAAGCGGGGAGCACACACCTCAGACTGTCTGGCAGTCATGTCTGCTCTCCTCTGCTCCCTCTCCTAAGCCCTGTCCTAAATGAACTCACAGGGCTGCTGCCTCCCCAGGAAGCTGGTTTCAGCTTGCTTCTGCTGTTACCTTGGGTGGGCAGAGAATGGAAGTCTGTCTCTTTGCCTAGGGCTTCCATTCTGGTGTCTCCTGGATGTGATACCTATAAAAAATGAGAAAGGGGAGGTTGCCCTCTTCCTGGTCTCTCACAAGGACATCAGTGACACCAAGAACCGAGGAGGCCCTGACAACTGGAAAGAAAGAGGTGGGTGCCAGGCCCTGTTGGTTCAGTCGTCTGGGCTTGGACACTGGATACCTCCAGCCTATCCTGGGCTCCCTGAGTCCCACGCGCTCTGACAGAATGGTTCAGGATACTCTGATGTTCTGGGATGGGAGTCTTGTCCAAATCTGCTAGTTGAAACAAAGTTGAAGTTGTTAAATCAGTGTTACTCAGCAAATGGGGGCTGGGAAGCCTCCCTTTCCCCGCTAACAATGCCGCACACATACTCACCGGCCTCCTTTCCACAGAGCATGCCTTATGGCAAAGCCCCCTCCAAGGGCTGGGAAGGCCTTCCAGGTCACAGAGCTGTCGGTAGGCACTGGTCCAAGACCTCATTGGTATCTGGGATGCTGGAAGTTCAGTCCATTCCCACTGCTCTATCCTCACTCGGCCCCGGGTTTACCTCTTCTCGGTGTCAATCTTTAGTGCGGGCTCTTCTGAGCTTCCACGCCTCTGCTGGAAGCATCACGCTGGCTCTGCGTCTTGAGACCTTCTTAGAAACTTCCTCTCCCGGGGCATTTCTTCACTGACTCCTTTTATTGTCTTGCTGGATCCAGACCGGCAGCTGACCCTGGAACTAGTGTACTGAGTGCCCCTGGGACCGCACAGCTCTGATTGACAGGTGACCCGGTGATGTGAGGAATGCCCAACCCCTCACTCTGAATAGACAAAAGGGTCAATGAGCCAGATCAGACTAGCAGCTAGTGTCCTGTACCCAGGATCCTATTACCATCACAGGACCCTCTTTCTGTGCAGGTGGTGGCCGGCGCCGATATGGTCGGGCAGGAAGCAAAGGTTTTAATGCCAACCGGCGGCGGAGCCGAGCTGTTCTCTACCACCTCTCTGGCCACCTACAGAAGCAGCCTAAGGGCAAGCACAAGCTCAATAAGGTGGATTGAGCACTTGGGTGTGTGTTTGGTGTGGGTGCAGGGTCTGGCAGGCTGAAGAGAGCTGGGAGGGGGTCCCATGAGCCCTTTGTGGGTGGAACGAAAGAAGGAATGTGTCGCGTCTGAACCATCGGATGTTCTAAAGAACACCTTGGCTTTGGAGTCAATCCTGGCTCTGCTCCTAAGCAATTTTTCGGCCTTGGCCAACCCTGTCCTCAGCCTTCTGGTCTGTAAGTAAGACCCATGTCAGGGACACATTGAGAGTGCAGAGAAAGGAGATGAATGCTCCTGAGTTAACCTTGGTCCTATCCTTTCTTCTCTACCTGGACCCGCCCCTCCTCACTCAGGGAGTGTTTGGAGAGAAGCCAAATTTGCCTGAATATAAAGTCGCTGCCATCCGGAAGTCACCCTTCATCCTGCTGCACTGTGGAGCTCTGAGAGCCACCTGGGATGGCTTTATCCTGCTTGCCACACTCTACGTAGCCGTCACGGTGCCATACAGCGTGTGTGTGAGCACAGCACGGGAGCCCAGTGCTGCCCGTGGCCCACCTAGTGTCTGTGACCTGGCTGTGGAGGTCCTCTTCATCCTTGGTATGTGTAACGTTGCCTGCTGCTCCACTTAGGGCCGCACGCACGCACGCACACACGCATGCACACACGCATGCACACACGCATGCACACACGCACCTTAGGCTTTTGTAGGGATCATTCTTTGGATGGTTTCCATTGCTCGACAAGCTTAGTCAGGCCACCAGTGTGAAGGCCTGGGGCAGGACCAAGCACTGGACATGTAGGTACCTGTAGTAAAGAGCTGTATCCTACTGACATCTGCTCCTTGTCCCACAGATATTGTGCTGAATTTTCGTACCACATTTGTGTCCAAGTCAGGCCAGGTGGTATTTGCCCCAAAGTCTATCTGCCTCCACTACGTCACCACCTGGTTCCTGCTGGATGTCATAGCAGCGCTGCCCTTTGACTTGCTACATGCCTTCAAGGTCAACGTGGTCAGTGTGGCTGGGCTGGGTGGTGAGCTTGGGACTGACACCGGCAGGGCTAGAGTTGGCCCGGGATGACCTCCCTTCCCCAATCCTAGTACGTTGGGGCTCACCTGCTGAAGACTGTGAGGCTGCTGCGCCTGCTGCGCCTGCTGCCGAGACTGGATCGGTACTCTCAGTACAGCGCCGTGGTGCTCACCTTGCTCATGGCTGTGTTCGCGCTGCTCGCCCACTGGGTGGCCTGCATCTGGTTCTACATCGGCCAGCAGGAGATTGAGAGCAGCGAATCCGAGCTGCCTGAGATCGGTACGGCAGGCTGAGAGGAGGGACGCATGCATGCCACGGGGAGGATGGCAGGTGCCAGGATGTGACCATCTGCGTGTGGGAATGTCAGAGAAAGGGTGTGCATGTATGTGATGGCCGCCACCAGGTGGGGACAGCCCAGTGGCTCCCTGGGGAGTCTCAGTCACCCACAGTATCCTCCTGATGACCAGACCTAGATCTCATTTCTCAAGCTCTTGCCCAGCTGTAGGTCAGGTAAGGACCTGCTGGCTTCCTTTAGTGCCGTCTTTTTTGAAGCTTGTCCCCCACAGGTTCTCCAGGTCACTGCACCTCCTTTGTCTCCTCCAGCTCGTCTGTCTGTCATGTGTATCCGAATCCATGCTTTACCTGAGCCTAAAAAGCAGCCTTCTATCCCAGCATCCTCCCTTGTTCGGTTCTCCTCCTTCCACTAACCACCCACTCAGTCTTAACCCTTTCCACCCTCACCTCTCCACGCCACCCACAGGGTTCTGATTTCCCAGCACTGAACCCCAGCAAGGCCCCTTGCTGCCAGCCACGCTCTTGCTGTGTGAGGTGGGGCCCTAGGCTGAGCCCCTCTTCCCAGGGCCTCCAAGTCCCGCAGACTCCAGACAGGTCTTGGTTTTTGTTTTCAAGACAGGGTTTCTGTGTATCTCTGGTTGTCCTGTAAATCAGGCTGGACTCGAACTCACAGAGCTCCTTCTGCCTCTGCCTCCTGAGTGCTGGAATTAAACGCACAGGCCACCAACACCCAGCTTTCAGATAGGTTTTATTTGCATCTCTCCGCCCTACTACAGCAAGCCATGGTGTCTCCATAAGGACATTACAACTCTCCACCTTCCCATTTAGCTGTCCTGTTCCAGCCAGTCTAACATCTGGTGCCTCCCAGACTGGGAACATCTTTCTTCCACACCTCCAGCCCTGTCAGCTTCTCAGTAACTGAAATTTGTTGAGTTTCCAGCTGCTCGGGTGACCTCAGTGAGGTCACCAGTCAGTCTCAGAACTTGCTCTGATCAGTTCCCCTGAGATGCCGGGGTTCCTGCGAACCTTCTCCTTGCCAGGGGCTTGGAGACGGTGTGTGCCCAGAGGAGCCACTTGGCAGCTCCCCCGAGGCCTCTAGTTGCTGAGCACGAGGAACGGGGACACTCCAGCTTGTTGGTACTTGCCTTTCCCAGGGGAGTATATAGTACAGGCCGCTCTGGGTCAGCAAGCACCCCAACCCTGTCTCCCTGTCACCTCCAAATAGCCCCAAAATACCAAATTCTCAGGTGAACCCCATTCTTTGCAACTGATCCAGACAGCCTTGGTCCAGAGACCACACAAGATGGCTCAGTGAATGAGGTGCTTGCTGCCAAGCCTGGCAGACCTGAGTTTACTCCCCAGGCCAACAGGATAGAAGGAAAAGAACCAACTTCCACAAGTTGTCCTCTGACTTCCACATGCTGCCATGACATGTGCACACACAGAAGGGAGGGAGGGAGGGACAGAGGGAGAGGGAGGGATGGAGGGAGAAAGGAGGCAGGCAGGCTGGCTTTAAAAAAAAAGCCCTCCCTAACTTTTTTTTTTTCAAGACAGGGTTTCTCTGTAGCTTTGGAGGCTGTCCTGTAACTCACTCTGTAGACCAGGCTAGCCTCGAACTCACAGAGATCCGTCTGCTCTGCCTCCCGAGTGCTGGGATTAAAGGCGTGCGCCACCAACACCCAGCACCCTTCCTATCTTCTCTCTCTTTTTTTTTTTTTTTGGTTTTTTACAAGACAGGGTTTCTCTGTATTGTTTTGGAGGCTGTCGGTCCAGCCCGGCCTCGAACTCACAGAGATCTGCCTGCCTCTGCCTCCCGAGTGCTGGGATTAAAGGCGTGTGCCACCACCGCCCGGCCCCTTCCTATCTTTTAAGGTTAAGCACACATATCTCATCTTCCTGGGAGCTGTTTAGCTCCTACCCGGCAACCCTTAGGTTTAACCCCCCCCCCTCCTCTGGCCCCTCCCTGGTAGAGCTCCGAGACAGCCTCTGTCCCTCTGTGGAAGCCTTGCTACCTTGGGCATTCAGCTACTGAGGGAATGGGCATGGATGAGAGGAGAGGTTTGAGGACTTCCAAGACTGGGAAAAAGCAGCTGGGGGAGTGTGGCCCAGGGTCTGCATGTTGACCTTGAGAACTTGTACTTGCTCTCTTCTCCAGTGTCCAGAGAAGACTGGGTAAGTTCAGTCTCTGCTCAATAGTCCATCCTGGCCATGTGTCTGTTTGGGTGTGAGGGAACATAACGTGTCTGTGTGATCATGCAAGTATATACGGAGGCATCTGTTGCAAGTGTGTCCCCCGCCTGTGTGTCAGTGTCCAGTCACCTGTGGTCAGTAGCATACAAAGGCCTTTTTAGTGCAAGTGGGCTTGACTGTGGCTGGGCATCTGCAGGGTGTTTGCATGTGTGTCCTTGTCTCCCCCACTGTGTGGGGTATATGTGGCACCTCAGCGGCGTATGTGTGCACACATCCGTGTGGGTATGTTGGTGACAGCACATGTGAGACTGGGTGCTTTGTGAGGTTGCGGGGCAGGGCGTGGCTGGATGGGCAGAGGCGGGGTTTCCGTAGCAGGTGGTTGGACAAAGAAAAAGTTGTGAGCGGACAGGACAGAGGCGGAAGCTCAGCCATCCAAACTTGGGGACCAGGCTGAGGCTAAACTCAGTGAGATGCCACCCCTACCCCCCAGTCTCTTTGCCTGGCC